TATTTGATGTAGAGTTTTGTATTATTTTTATACTTTTTACATTTTTTGCTGTGTACATTTTTATACTATTATGTACTTACTGATGATTTGCTGAGTTAAAATGGAAAGAACCCAAGGAACTCATAGATGGTTTTTATCAAAATGACATACTTTCATGTAATTGCAATTAGGAGCCTCTTGTGACATTTATGTGAGAAGCACAGACAAGGGATTATTTTAGCTTTTCCATACTGTCTTTAAAAAATGGGCTATTTCATTTCATGGGTACATTACTTGATTTAATAAAACTGAATGCTCCATGAAGTGAGGTCTATTTTATAATGAACGTCTGTTTTCATGTAGACACGTTTCCTTACTGTTGAAGCTTCCATTTGTTTCAGTAGAATTTCTTTGATGTGTTTTGGGGACTGGTTGAAACCTTGTGTTCGAAAAATATGTTAACTGGCCTAACATCTCTTTGTTACCTTTGGGCTGGAAATTTTAATTAAAGCACGGTGAGGAAACTCTTAAATGCAAGAATGTTCCAAGAATAATTAATGGCTTTCAGAATTCTTATAGCACTAGTAAATCCTGTGTTTATATTTGTGCCTGTGCTTTGATATAGTTGAATATATATTTTATGTATGTGAATACATATTCATGTATTATGTGTGTGAATTCGTATTCATTACATTTTTGAAATACATATGTGGTATGAATAGATATATGTTTTTATGTATGTGAAACAGTGCAGACATATACAGAGAGGTCTGCTTAAAAATCCTTAAAAATATTTAAACAAATACAGCAGGCAGTTGTTCAGGAGTGAGCGCCTGATTCTTACATGCCGGCATCAGGGTCTGAGCAGTAAACACAGCTAGGTCACACTGCTGTGTTCAACATCATTGTGGCGAAAGGAGGAGTTAGTTTTGGAGATCTCCAAGAGTTAGTTCAGCAAGGTCCTCTTAGCTCTAAAATCCTTTGAGTCAATAACTATGATGGAATTTATATCCTAATATATCCAATACCAAATGTTTTGTCTTTTAGTTCAAAAGCAAAGAGTAACATTGCTAATAAACCAATCCTTTTATGTACTAGTCTGAGCCCTAAAAAGTTCACCATTGTATAATGTGGCTGCAGTCTTGTTCTTTTTGAAAGCTCTTCTGTTTGGGGACCCATTTTCATTCTAGGGAATGATTTAGATATTTGTAGAAGAGGTCTAAGTTGTTTGAATTTAATCTTGAACCTTTGTGGTGAGCTTGATTTTTCTCCTTAATGTACTGTTTTTAGAAAAGCAATTTTTGTTTCCCTGGCTTTCGCAGTTCTTTGCACGTAGCAAGCACTCAATAAATATTTATTGAATTGAATTGAATTTGATCTGCTTCAAAGTCATAGTTCTGGTGTAGGGTTATTCATTTTGGGCAGAAGCTGTCATAAATCACAGGAGTTTAATACTAATCCAGCTGATGGACTGCATACTCAGCAGCCTATCACAGTTCAGTACTGTAGGTTACACATTCCCACGTGCAAATTTAGAAAATTGTGTGGCCCACAAGGGCATTGATGAACTAACTCTAGTCTATTTCAAATCTACTTTGTGGGTGAGTGTACACTCACCCACAAGCTTCCAATGCTCCTACCTTTTAGAATGACCTTGTTGACTTCAGTGACTCATCTCTTAACAAACCCTGCTTTCTGGTACCTTGCAAGCCTTTGCATACACCTTTGCCTGGAATATTCCTTTTGCAAATTGAGGTATGCCTTTCCTGATGCTCCCATGTCAAGATGAGAGTGAGCTGCTGCTTTTCTCCTTTAGCATTTTGTACTGTCTTCCACTGCAGCACTGAGTCCCCTGTAATTCTTTTTTAAGCCATCAGTCTTTTCACTAGAAACTCCTTGAGGACAGGTCTATCATTTATTCCATTCTGTATTCCCTAGGGCCTGAAACAATACCTGACACATAAACGTTTGTAGAATTAACAAATGGGTCTTGAAGTTCATGTAAATTTGCAAATGAAATAAAATAAAAATGGAAATGAATTTAGCCAGGGATCATTAATTATATGCTTAATTCTAATTAAATTGTGATATAGTTAGAAGGAAGATCAGCCTGAGATTCAGAAGATGCAGGCTCTTGTGTAGGATTAATGATTTTTTAATAGTTCCTTAATCTTTGTAGTTCTTAGTTTCTTTATCTGAAAATGAATGGATGGGACAGGATCTTTGCTAAGATCCCTTAGAGCAAGAATTACATTGCTCCTAAGTTAATTATAGAGAACAAGGTCTCTTCTGCCAGACTCCTTGAGGCAGGAGGTATGTTCTAGTCATCTATAATTTCCTGGCACTGAGCTGAGTACCAGGCATATAGTACTTATTTAAACAGTTTTACCAAATAAAGCAATAAATTACCAGATAGAATTACAATTTAAATCAAATGAGAAAAAGGTCATGTGGAGAAAAGTAAGTTAAAATTTGTAACACTCTAAAAAAATCAGTTAAATAATAGTTAAATGAAATGTCTTAAAAAAAACACCTGAGAGAACTCTTTTATTTATCTGTCAAAATGTTCACCAGTGGAGGAAGTAAATTTAAAACTGCCTAGTCCCCTAACTACAAGTTAATAATTTACCAATCGTTGATATGTTGTACCAAGTTTTATGTTGCTGAAATTAAACTGTGCCTGCTGTGGTGGCAATATTCTTGAAATTTGTGAGCATTTGTGATACTATCTTTTAGTTTTAAAACTTGAAAAACTATTTTCTGGCAACCAGGATTTGTTAACTCATTGACATATTTGGAACTTCCTCAGTCTTTACGGCAGAATGAGCTTCTCTGTTTATATCAAAGTGTCACAAAACTAAAAAGAGGGTAAAAAAGCCTTTCAGCTATACTTCTGTAAAGATTTGGCACTATTTAATAAGTTAGATGCTATCTTACCTTTCTGAAAATTTCTTTAGGAGATCAAAATAATCTTACATTTAAACTATGCTTGTACCTTTGGGTTAGTGATTTGAACTGCTAATACAGTTCAATCATAAAATGAGAAAGTAATATGGAATTATTTATGTAATAAGGAATTATTTATGTGTAAAAAAATACATAAAGTATTCCAAAATCAATCAACCAAGCCAGCTATACATCCATTTATTAGTTCTTACTATAAACTAGACAATTCTGTTTTAGACACTGTATATGAAGAGGAGGAAGATAGGGTAATGCCCTCAGTTAATGTAAGAAATGGTTGTCTTAAATTAGGGGCTGATGCTTGATAGTTTTAATCAGAATTTTCTCCCCACACACAAAATATATAATATGGTTATTTCTTAAAGAAAGCAATTAAGATAGTAAGCTTAAAAGTACTTTTTTTGTTTCCTTGATTTATTGTATTTGTGGTTATTGAAATTATTATTGTTCAACTCTTTTTGGTTATTTGGCACAGGCACTTTTATGAGTACCCAGGAGTGGATACATGATTTGTAGAACTTGAAATTTAGAGGGGTTTTTAAAGAAAAATAGTACAAAAATGCAAATACAAAATTGAGAAATTGAGCGTGAGTATATGAAAGTGAATTTTTTTAGAATGATAAAGTCACAGCAAGTTATAAATTTTAAACAATTGATTAATCTACAAACATCAGATAAATAATCTCAACTCTGTATATTTTATACTTTGATTCTCTTCTGTTTCCCACTTATGCTTCTGGTCCTGGGTACCATTGGACACGTTCAAATCACCAGATTTGAACTGGACCTTCTTGCCCCTGTGCTGGAGTCGTCAGCACCGAGGGCCTTTGGAATATTCTTGAGGCCATTCTTTTATCACGGTGGCTGACAATAATTTAACTAGGTTCAGAAGTGACTGTGCACTTCATGTGTATGCCAAACTAAATGTATCTCCAACTCAGATTCCCATTAGCCACATTCCAAAAATGCGCATGGCTCTGGTGCTACCCAACAGGAGGTTAAATGTGATGGAAGGCAAGGCATACTAGAAATAGAAGTCTCAACTAACTTGTTTAAAATACTTTTCTCTTGAAAATTTTCCAAAAAGACATATGGCGAAGGCCTTAGAGGAGGGCCAAGTATCCGAGGGACCCTCAAGCTTGTGCTCTCTAGCTTCTCAGTAAGTCTGTCCTTATGTGTACGTTTTGCCTTTTAGAAGAGTGTGACGCCTGTGTATGCTCTTTAGTTAATTTCCCATGACTTCATTAAAACTTTATTTAATCGAATGGTTCCTTATGACCTGGTTCCGGGGGTAAGAGCGAGATGGGTTAACTTACTTTTGACTAAGTCACATGAACAAGTAGAATGGAATACAGTCATTGAATTACTCCCTTTTCTTGCCAGCAGAAGGTGTTTTCAGTTCTGCAGGCAGCTCTGAACGCCCCAGTGGTTGGGTGGCACCTGATAGAATGACTGGACAGTTATGAAACACATGTTTACAGGGAAGAGAGGTAGTATGGGTAGTATGGTGGAAAAGACTCATTCTGACCTGACACCCGGTTAGTACTTAGTAACTCAGTTATTACAGTTGACTGTTTTGTTTTATTCTCCATAGGATTCAGGAATAATACACTAAAGCCTTAATTAAAACCTGTGAAAGCTTTAGCTGGGAATTCAGTGTAGTAAAATAATATCTAAATATGAGACACTGATTGCCAGAAGAGGCTCATTTCCTCATTTTAATTTTAAAAAGAGACCATAGTGGGATACAATAATTAGCACATTGGAGTTCTACTAAGCCATGAACAGTAGGACATTGTAGAAAAGAGAGTGAAAATTACAGTGATTGAAAGTAAAGGTATAACATAGGAAAAACTGAATGGGAGAAGAAAATAGGATTTAATTGTATTAAGACAGATGTAAATATTTACCAATTCTTTGTAGATTAGACAGTAATTTTAAGATAAAAATCATGTTATGAAAAATAAATAGTACATAGTTCCATAAATTTCTCATTTTTCTGTGAAAGAAGTTGCTGAGGTTCATATGAAAATATCTATTTTTTTCTTTGTTTTTAGGTCAGACTGTGCCAAAATCCCAAACTTCAATTGAAAAATAGCCCTCCATATATACTTGACATTTTACCTGATACATATCAGCATTTGCGACTTATACTGAGTAAATATGATGACAACCAGAAACTTGCCCAACTCAGTGAGAATGAATATTTTAAAATCTACATTGATAGTCTAATGAAGAAGTCAAAACGGGCAATAAGACTCTTTAAAGAAGGCAAGGAGAGGATGTATGAAGAACAATCACAGGACAGGTAAGAATATTTCAGATTTTACTTTTCTTAATGTTAACATCAAACTACTCATACTGTCTCTATAGTTCTGCCTTCTTCAGTATGTCATATAGTTGAAATCGGATAATACGTAACTTTTTTCAGAACTGGCTTCTTTCACTTAAGGATATGTATCTACATTCCCCTTGTCTTTTCATAGACTGATAGCTCACTTCTTTTTAGCAGTGAATAACACTCCATTACATGTCCCACAGTTTATCCATCCACCTGTTGAAGGACAGCTTGGTTGCTTTCAATATTTGGCAGCGCTGAATAAAGCTGCCATAGATATCTGTATCCAGGTTTTTGTGCAGGCATAAACTTTCACCTTATTTGAGTAAACTACCTTGAAGCATGATTGCTAGATTTGATGGTAAGCCTGTGTTTAGCTTTGTAGGAAACTCCAGGACTGTTTTCATAAGTGGCTGTTCTGTTTTGCATTTCCACAGCAATGAATGAGTATTCCTATTGCTCCACATCCTTCAGCATTTAGTATTGGAGAAAATGTCTTTAAGACACAGTCTTGATTGGATATTGCTTGTGGTATGTGTGGGTGGGAAATGTAGCTAAATTTCCAGAGTTTGACTAGTAAGTGAGAAACTGAACTGCAGTGGAAAAAACTGAAGTGACATCGACTAAGTCCTTATTTTATAGCCAGGATTCTTGACTTAAAGACTCCTCATCAAAATTTGTTGTTTCATTACAGTGTTAAATTTCATGATCTGTTTTAAACCAAATAAAGAAAATTAGTTTTCTATTTCTGAGATATTTTAAATATCTCTAGAATATTCACTGGTAGTAGCAGTCTAAATTTCCAAATTGGAAAACAAATATTAATGAAAATAGATAATGTTTTAACATAGTTAAGTTGAATTTTGGTTTAAAATACTTAACCTTTTTGCATTTTAGTTTCCTTGCATTGTAGGAAACCTCTAAGAAAGCTATAATGTTCTTTTAGGTCAGAAAAACTAACCCTATTTAGTTAAATAGTTCCATTTAGTTAAATAGGGTCATTATAATAGAAAATGCAGTTATATAGGTATGTAGACTCTGAAGTTGTCTGTGAATATTGGCCAAATACTCAGAGTAAAACCATCAGATTGAAACTTTAAAAAACCCTCTGCCAGATGTAAAGTGGCATGAGTGTTTACTTATTTGTAATTTGCTCTCTAAATCAGCAATGACTCCTAACATAATGACAGTAGTCTAACCAGTTATAACTGTGAGCTCATCATTTAATATTCTTGGACCGTAGTTTATACATCCTAAGGGGAGTGAATCTTCCCGGTCCCTTTTCATTTTAAAGCTCTAAGACTTGGGACTGCTAAAGAGAGTTTGAATGGCCAAAGGGTACCCAGAAGTAAGGTAGAGAAATGTCATAGTGATAGTTTCTTCTTAATGCATCTTTCAAGAATGGCCAAGGTTATGGGAAGCTAGCTATTTGATGTTGAAAACCACCTATTTATGTTTTCACTTTGTAATTCTACCATTGGTTTAGTAAAAGTAGTTTAATAAATATCTTTTTACTTATTCAAATTTATTAGCCCAGAAGTTCTTTCTGTTCCAGCAAAGTAATCCATTAAATTTTACTTTTTTTTAGAGTATCAGGACAGTGAGAAAGTGTATAGCTTCAAGGTCTAGAAATTTGAGTGGATACAGTATTTTAACGAGATACAGTAATATATGATGCGGTAAACTTGTATACCAGTTTTACATCTTCTTTAGAAACTGGAAACTTTTTCTAACAGAGGAGATGTCTTGTAATTATTATTTCATTTGTATGTTTTGATATTTTTGGCTTCTTTTGTGGGAGAATATCATGGGGGAATCTCTCTAAATTTTGGCTGGTTGTGTGTAGATTCCACAGATGATTGTAGATTTCATAATGTTGACTGAGCACTTTGAGGCAACTCTGTAAATTCTGTTTTAAGTGTCCAAGTAAATTTTGTCACACTCTCCTAAGTTCAACCCTAAGACAAAGTCTATTCGTTCCTGTGTTGGCGTAGTGTATACCTCACTGAGGTTTACTGTCAGCCATGTTCCATTTTCTGGTAGTGTCCTATGGCCAGCTGTGTTTATGCAGAACTTAGATTGGATACATGTTTGATCATAATTCATAATAATGTATGGTTCTTGGTACACCATTACAAGGATATAAAGTTTTGATTTTGTTTTTTGGTAGTAATATATTTTTATACGTTCACTTCTAGGTTCCCTTAGGATTCCAAAATACAGAGTGAGGCTAAAATGTGCCATTGTACTGGAGTGCTGGGACATTTGCTCTACAGACTATAAAAGAAACTTCTTAGAATGCTCTCATGGTTGTTAGGCAGAAGAGTATTCTATTTAGTAGAATGACTCTTTTCTAACATGTATGACACACTATTGGGAATATGATAAATTCTCTGAACAATGTTTGATTCTGTGAATACTGTGATGGGGACATTAGTATTACTAAGGTAAGAATACAGGGGGCAGTAATGGTAGAGGAAGTAAACTAGCACTGCCCTGAGTGATTATGTACTTTATTGAAGAAAATTATGCTGAGTGTGTACGTAAGTCAAATGTTTATTTTGATGTTCCTCTTGTGTCAGAAATAAACTTCTTGTGGATTTGTTTTAAATGTAAGGACAAATGGGAAAAAATTTAGGTATCAGTTTTGAGCTAGGTCTGTTTTAATTAATGGTAATATGAGTGCCTGAATTTTTAAAGCAATTTCACAATAAATATGATAAATATAAGAAATAAATGAAGCAAATGGCCTACAATATATGTCTCATGTAGAAGGCAAGAGGTAAGAATTACAGCTAGATAAATTTATTTGCTACTGAAATATATATTATGGGCATAGTGTAAGCCTCTTACTTTGAGAGTGGGTAGAATAATGATTTCTGGTAGAGAGAGGCATGCTCCATGGCCTGCTTGATTTTTACAGTAAACCTCCTCCTTCTGTACTAACACTTTTCCCAAGGGATTTTTTTTTTTTTCTTTTTCCTCTACAAAAAATTAAACCTCACACTGAGGTGGTGCTTCTTCAGCTGAATGTCTATTCCATTCTGAGCTGGTGTTTCTGGGAACAGCAATTCAGTAATTCAGTCATTTCTGGCATAAAGTTTTCCATGTGTATTTGTGGAGTGGGGGTTAGGGATCATGTAGAGAAGGAAGAATTTATAGTTCCAGCACAGAGAAGAGGAGAAACTTTAAATCACATTGCTTAAAATTCTAGTTGCAAAGGTCAAAATGGGTGTGAAGGTCATTATAGCTGACAAATGCAAAATTGACAGGAGGTGCCTTTCTGCAGTGATTTGACTGGCAGTTTCATCAATTGAGTCTTTTAATAGTCAGGTTTACTCTTTCATATAAAAAGTCATGTTAATCCTCTCCTCTGCAAGGCCTGATGTTGGATATTGTTTTTTAGAACACCTAGGGGTGATAGTGTTCTATGGTGTTCAGATTTTCCAAACTTCAGAACTGCTTCAGTGAACCAAGAGCTACAGCCCATTTTTCCCTCCCATACTCTGGTTTACAACCACTGAAACAAAACCAAAAGTCAGCTGAGGTGGAAAATAGCTCTGCATTCAACAATCTGTGAAGGAAATAAAGGCTTTTTAAAAATTCATGCCAGCGAGTAATGATACATAGATATCTTGTTATTAATGTCATTCCAGAACCCCTAGATGGTTCCTCATGCACATGTATTACAGAAAACAAATCACAGTTTGCTTAGCTTGTATAATAATGTTCATTCCATTAAGATTTTTTTTAAAAAGTATTTCAACATAGGAAAATTAGTCCTGAAGATGCTAGCCTTTATTTAAAAGTCCTTCATGAGTATCAGGCAAAAATCTTTTTCTCCATTGACCTTTGGCTGAACAAAGAAAATACATAACCTGCTACATTAATAAAGTGCCTTTTCCCGGAAAGGATTACAGGTCACTATGCTTGCTGTTTGTGGCTAGGTTGTAATTTATGAATTAATATGCCATGAATATTTTGAACCGATATATTAAAAGTACATAGTTAAATCAAAAACATCAGCTACAATAATAGTAACAACAGAACACAAAGCTGCGAACCAACCTACCTGCTTTCCTCCTGACGCTGTAGGACAGCATCGCTTTGGCCAAAAAATAATGTGGTATTAATTTAAATTTGGATTTGTATAAACACAAATGCATGTTGATTACATGGTCATGGATGCAGTTTTGAAGTTCTTGGGTTTTCAGTTTAACCACATGTAGAGATGTATGCACAATTTGGGCTTTCTATTATCATTTTAATTGTGACATGACCTCACAGGTTAACGGCCTTGCTTATCATGCCACACTGAGTTCTGCATTCCTTGTAGGCAGCTCTGCACAGCGTGAGAAGGAAATGAGGAAAGAACCGAGGGCAGGAATCTCATGGTCTGACACCATTTCTGCTCCAACTGTTCTTTGAAACCTTGGTTGGTTTCCTGACTCCAGCCTATTTTTTTCAGTCTTTAAATTATTTTCTGGATATTTTAAATTATTTTCACAGTATTTTTGGCTCAGACATTTCAGCACTAGAAAATGAAGATGTAGTTTGTTTTGGCCTGGATGCTACTGTTGCTACATTAGTCCATTGAATAATTTTTAAAATCCAGCAGTAGTTTCTAGTAAAAATCCTGTTTTTGTTACTATGATGATCACTTGAACTCCTTACTCTTAGGGAAGTCATGTCTTTTGTAAGTTATTTGTACTGTAATGCATCCCACTTACTTTATGAAATATCTGTTTAATGATGCATGAGAGGAATTATGGTTTATGTGCTTTTTAAATACAATCTAACATTCTAAAATTTATCCTGTTTTTTTATGTCTCTTTTTTTTGTTTACTAATGGTGAAAATTACAGCCCTTTCCATTTCATGAGGACAAGAGACAAGTTGCAAGTAGAGAAATGATATATGAATAAATCAAAGTAGGTCACAGAAACCTACTTTTTTGAATACCAGTATTCT